TAATCCGTTGCGGATATCCGTTATCCGCTGGTGGATACCCGCCCAGTGCCAACGGATACCCGCCAGCGGGTGTGGATTTGGGTGCGGATGCCCCCTTCCCCCTGAAATCCTGGCGGATATCCGGGTATCCCAAGGGATATCCGCCCATACAGGAGGCCTTGGGAGGGCCACAGGCTGTGAGAAACAAAAGAAAAAATGGAAAAATGGAAAAATAAAAGAAATAATGGGGCCTTAACAAAAAAACATGGTTTTTGCTGCGCGCACTGCGCAGCAGACACATTTTTTAATTAATTTTGTACTGCTTATTTTTCATTATTTTTTGAAATTTTAAATTTATTTCTTATGATTTAAAGTGCATAGAACTTAATTGTAAAAAGAATTTTCCATAAAAGTTAATGGTTATTTTTGAATAATGCAATTAGACACATTTTTTCAATTAATTTTTGACAGATTGATAATTAATTAGGTGTGAAATTTGATGGTAATGACTATTATGCATAAAACCAAAGATTTTTATTGAATATTGTGTTGGACAGGATTTTTTTAACGTTCTTTTAATTAATTTTTGCCAGCTTAATTTCCATCATTTTTTGAAATTTTAAATTTATTTACTACGTCACTTTGAGTAGTTTCAAAGCTTGTGGTATCATTTATTTTGACCAGAAATGAAAGCTTCAATCTTAATATATGAGTGTACCCCATTTATTGCATAATTAAATTATACAAATTATGATAATTTGTACCGTATACCAGTTTTATTTGTATGCAAAGTTGATATAACCATCAATTTTCAAAAAATAATGAAATTTAAGCCAGCAAAAATTTACATGTGTTAGCTGCAAGAAAAAATTGCAAAGGAAAAAGGAATTAGATTTTTTCCATATTTTTGGGAGGGTCACAGGCTGTGAGCAACAAAAGGAAAAAATAAAAAAAATAAAATAAAATAAAAAATAAAAAAATAAATGAAAAAATAAATAAATAAATGAACAAAAAACAAAAATTTAAAACCACTTTGCCAACTGCTCAACAAAAAAAAATTCAAAAGCAAAAAGAAATATAATTTTTTCCATTTTCCATATTTTTTGGAGGGTCACAGGCTGCAAGCAGCAAAGGAAAAAAAAAATGAAAAAAATAAAAATAAATTGAAGGCTTGAAGGCCACAAGAAATTCAAAATCAGTGTTTATGCAGCTTTCTGCATCTGAAATTACCCCAAGAAACTTTCATTTTGCAGCCTGGGGGTCATTTTTGGGGCGGATATCCGCGGGTATCCACGCGGATACCCACTGTAAGAATCAAAAGTGGTTGTGAAACCCTTTTGCTGAATGGAGAAGGGTATGTTGGAGTTGCAAGCTCTGCCCTTCTATACTATCAGAATAACAAGACCACCAAGCTTAGCTTGGCAATTTTTTATATAGTGATAGGGATAAGTTTGAGATGAAGCTGCCGATTGATATGTGTGAGGGTATAAAGATGTTATTGACTGTTGGTTATATTGATGAAGTTGTTGTTGATGAATATGGTTCAGGGAACTTTTGGTTTTGTTGATGGTGAAAGTGTTAAATCTTTATTTCAATGGGTATAAATCTGTAATTGTAATGTGGCTAAGATTTGTAGTTATGAAATAATATATAAGATGGATTTATTTATAAGGGTGGTTGAGATGATCTGGTCCACTGGTGGGATGATGGAGGGAACAACTGGAAGGCAGAGGCCTCCTTATATAGACAAATGTGAGGGATTTTGGCCCCAGGGTACAGGCTGTGAGATACTACTACAAAGGGATGCATATGAATGAATAAAGGGATGCATATGTATGATCAAAGGGATGCATACATGCAATATCACTAATACAAAGGGATTCAAAATAACGTAAAGGTATTAAATTTACTACAAAGGTATTCAGTATGCAATATGCATCCTGTATTCATAATGAATATGGCTAGAGTGAAGAATCCAAGAAATATCCTGTGACAGGTTGAAATCTGTGTAACTTCCAAACTATAAGAGATAAGGGTATGGTTGTGGTGGGTGACTAGGGGTTATTTTACCTGAAGATTCCATTTTTGATGTCAATTTGACCATATGTTAAATGAATAAAGGGATAATAAGAAATTTTTATATTTTCTGCGTAGAAACACAGTATTATTTACCACACTGCCAGGGCCAGCGGATGCGGATGTCTGATTTGGCTGAAAACGTGAGCGGATATCCAAATCCGAACGGATATCCAGATGCGCCGGGCCCATCTCTATCCACTACTGTTTGTACCATTTGATCAAGGAAGTTGTTCCCCGGCCAGACCCCCAATTTGTGAAAAGTAAGGGAGGAGGAGCCGGGTGAGAGATGGCGGAGGAACCAGGGAGGAGGAGCAGAGTAGGAGCTGAGAGGCAGAGGCCAAAAGGGTGAAAATAAGTCCTCCATTGTGTGCATCTCCGAGTGGTATTACTGTAAACCTCTACCATAGTGCCAGGTTCATGAGCAAAGGGGAAGGGCGCGGATTGTTGTTAGTATGGAGAGATGCAGGCAATGGGAATTCTCAACTAACCAGAGTGAACAGGGGGAAGTACAAGTTGGTGGCAAAGAAGGTTTGGCCTCAGAACAAACCAATGCTGCAGGACCTCAACCCTCCACTGCAACCTATTTGGTGGGATTGGGACCCGCTTGCAATGCCGTTGTTGAAGGTTACAACTAGGTTCACCCCTTCCGCCAAGATTACTACGGAGCGGAAAGAAGGGTTGAACTTTGGGCCAGAAGGGTGGTTAAGCGAGGAGGATTTTCACCTGTTGGGGGGTGTGGTGAATGTGCTTGCTTTCGGACCGGAAGAGCTGGGCTTGTTGAAGCATGAAATTGGCCAGCCTTGCAAGATTCTGACGATACCACACGAGCCTTGGCAGATTCGTCCAATTCCAATTCCAGCGGCCATCTGAGGAGCCTTTATGGAGTTGATAAAGGAGAGAGTGCGAACCGGATTGTACGAGCAGACAAATTCCAGTTACTTGAGCCCAATCTTTGCGGTGTTGAAGCAGGATAAAACGAGCTTGAGAATTGATGGGCTAGACAGGGCTGAGAGAAGCAAGCACAAGGTGGTTGAGTGGTTATTTTTTGTGGAAGGAGAGTTCATTGCAAACTGAGAAAGAAAATGAAGAGAGAAAAAGGAAGGAAGAAAGAAAGAGAGAAAGAAACTACTATACCTGAGAGCAGCAAGCACGAGGTGGGTGAGTGATTGTTGTTTGTGGAAGGATGAGGAAAGAAGATCTTCCACGAGTGCTGCCTCAGGTATACTACAAGTGTGTGACATGAGAGGAAACTACCTGTGACATGTATAAAGCAGAGAAAAATAATTGAGATGAGAAAAGACAGTGATCAGCTCAACAAGAATTGCGCATGACTTGCAGCAGTTGAATTTGGTGACAATCAGGCATGCGGGGTTGCCACCGTGGATTGAGGATTTTGTCGACACCATTGCGCAGCGGACTTGCTAAGGCCTGGTGGATGTTATGGGCAGATATGATCAGTGGGAGCTCCATCCTTCTTCGAGGACAATGACGGCGTTTGATGCAAGTCTGCTAGGGGAAATGCAGCTGACTCGTCTTCTGCAGGGGGTGACCAACTTTGTAGCGGTCTACCAGGCTCAGATGGCATGAATCTTGTGGGAAGACTTGCCGGATGTAGTTCTGATCTTCATTGACAATGCGGGGATCAAAGGTCCCAAGTCTGACCACGGTGGAGAGGTGCTGCCCGAAAACCCTGGGATATGGCGCTTTATCTGGGAGTACGCAGTGGTGCTGGAGCGAGTCCTGTATTGGATAGAGTTTGCAGGTTTGACGGTGTGAGGACTCCTCTGGGAATGGTGGCAGTCCTGTGAGGGGGAAATATCAGATTGAGATATATCACATGTGTAATGATCTACTACAACTGTTACGGCTGGTTTGAAAGATGTGCCCCTCTATTGTACTACACAAGAGTTAACACAACAATTTATTTTTATTGTTGTGGCAAAACTAATGATAGAGTAAACTATGTGTAGCAGTCTCTTATCAAACCTAGATCAACGTGGATTCAGCAGACTATGGGAGTGGAATTGTTGAGTAAGATGTGTTTTTATTTTCTTTCTTTTATACATTTTATGTATTTTTGAAAAATGATTGGCGTATGTGTTAGTATTCATGTGTTTCAGCTCCCTCTTTTTCATTTTCTCATTATTAGCATATCTCATGGCATACTCTTTAGTCATTATTAGTATATGTTTATACTAAGTTTTATCTCATTTGTAGCATCTTTTCTTTCACTATTTAAAGCTTGAGTTTGTTCATCCAGAAATACATATTTTCCTCTTTGACTCTTTCACTCATCCATTAACAGTATGTCCTG